AGAGAACATCTTTCATACTAGCTCCAGTACCTGGTTAAAAGAAAAGCAGAAAACAATTAATAAGGGAAAAGCAGACACCATTTTATTTCCTTATTCACAAACAACCTTCTAGCTTAGGGCCATATTTGAGGTGGTGCAGGCAACCATATTTGTTGCTTACATGGCTGCATGCATTAAGTGGGAGGCAGGAAGAAAATCAATTTTTATTAACAAGACACAGATAAAATAGATGAACAGAGGTAGACCCCCATACCACATGATTATTCACCCAAACTTCTCTTTCCTCTAGCCTAGCTCCCGATACCACAAGTGAGCTAGGCTAGAAGAAAAAGAGCCTGAAGCGATGAAGTGAGGTCTGTTGGCTCATTTCCTTGTTTCATAGAAAGATTGCACATGAATCCCCATCCTGTTTTATCGAGGAATAGAAAAGAGACAAAGGTGGCTCCTTGTCTAATGTGGCCCTTGAAAGTGGTCTGGTCCAGCGGTCTCCAAGCTTTCCTTGCCTTGGGCTGGTGTCTCCAGCGACGACTGCGCAATGGGCACGTGCGCAAACACTATTTCCAGTGCACATCCGGGTCGGAGGAGGCCCGTGAGCATGCGCACAAGCTTTTTACGGTGCTCCTCCGACCTGGAAGTGGGTCCCTGCGCCGCACCGGTATGAGCCAGTGGCGGGAGTCACTGCAAGCCGGATAAACGAGTCCCTCAGGCCTTATCCGGCCCCCGGTCCATAGGTTGGTGATCCCTGGTCTAGTCCCTTTCATTCTCATGTCATTTAGTACTGCAATCTATGAAGGTATTGCTTAAGGAACCTTTGGCACAAGGTAGAGTGTTTCTAAGTACAAAATGCACATAGGGTAGAATGTTACAATCTCAGTCTTTCAAAGGTTCCCTTTAAAGAATGTTAGAAATGACAGGTGGTAAGCTCACAACCAATTCTCCCACCAACATCTGTACTGACTTCAGGCTTAATATAATTACTACAAACCAGCAAGTTGAAGGTGGCTAACCATCTCCCAGTACAGATTTGCACAGCAAATATGTGACAGCCTTGTGGACTATAAAGGGAGAAACTCAAAGAAGAATCATTTAAATGGTGCTTAATAATAAGAAAAAGGGAGCACTTAAAGCAACCCCATTCAAGGTTGTTTTCAAGCTCTGAGCTTCTTTTCCAAAGCTACTTTAGGGATTTGTAGCTGGCCAGAAGAAAGACAGATTATCAGCAGGGAAATACCCTAACTTTTAGCTCTATTTCCTTTTAGTGTTATAATTTACCTAGCTAACCAGCTCAATTATTCAAATTATCTAGATGCACTGTAACAGAGATGGAGTCAGCTTCTGAATTTTTGTTTCCAATTTAAATGAAAGAGGAAAGACAAGAGATCGAACAAGTCCAGAAAGGGCACAAGACTGCTCACCGAGGTAATGGGATGCCAAGGTTCAAAGTACTGCTGCTGAGTGAGATCATCATTTTCTTAGATGGACTGGGAGTATCTAGAACATTTCCAGAACTCTAAGCTCCAGAGTTCTTAGCTGTGTTGGTGCAGCATTCTTCATGTGCAACTTGCACAGAGACCATAAAAAAAATGGAAGTCTTCTCATGTTTCATTGCTTTCTAGAGAGGCCCTAAATGGCCTTCTGGACACTGTTACACTCCTCACCTTTTCATTATTTGGGCATATTTGATCTCCAAGCTCACTCTATTCCCACACCCCTAGCCTACAGCAGATGCAAATAAATCACTTCACATTATAAACACTTGGGAGTAAGGAGGAAATCTAGGAATGGGCTTTTCCAATTTTCAGTTACCTTGTGGCTACTAATTGAGTGGCATAGACTAACTTACCTTAATTGTACCCTGACTGTTAGCAGCAATCAGCACATTGGACTCCTGCAAAACAAGAAAAGTCATCAGGGTTATGCTGCAGGCACTAGGAAGGGGACGTGGCTGCTTAAATCACTTTTGATTTTGCAATTCCAACTTTAAGGAGAAGTTGATATCTGACTTATCTTTTAAAAACACTGCACCTGAAAAAGTTAGGAAACCATTTAGAGAAAAGCAGGATGTATTTCAAAGTAACATACAAATGTGAAATCACATCCAGATTTTTTTGCGTGGGAGCTAAACAAGAAATACAAAGTTTACTTTGTTTTTTAGCCACTAGTACAAAAGGTTCCATGGTCACTGCAGATGGTGACAGCAGTCACGAAATTTTGGGAGAAAAGCAATGACAAACCTAGGCAGCATCTTAAAAAGCAGAGACATCACCTTGCCGACAAAGGTCCATATAGTTAAAGCTATGGTTTTCCCAGTAGTAATGTATGGAAGTGAGAGCTGGACCATAAAGAAAGCTGATCACCAAAGAATTGATGCTTTTTGATTATGGTGCCGGAGGAAAGTCCCACGGACTGCAAGAAGATCAAACCTCTCCATTCTGAAGGAAATCAGCCCTGAGTGCTCACTGGAAGGACAGATCCTGAAGCTGAGGCTCCAATACTTTGGCCACTTCATGAGAAGAGAAGACTCCCTGGAAAAGACCCTGATGTTGGGAAAGATGGAGGGCACAAGGAGAAGGGGACGACGGAGGACGAGATGGTTGGACAGTGTTCTTGAAGCTACCAACATGAGTTTGACCAAACTGCGGGAGGCAGTGGAAGACAGGAGTGCCTGGCGTGCTCTGGTCCATGGGGTCACAAAGAGTCGGACACGACTAAACGACTAAACAACAACAACAACAACAACAACAGGTCTCATGTGCCTTGTCTAAGCTCACCAATTGCCAAACATAAAGAGATTTCAGTTTATTCATCCAACTAGTAACGGACCACATTTACCCAGGGACATGGCCCTCCAGATGATGCTTGTTGGATTGAGTCTGTCATCTGAACCTGGGCTCATCATTCAGTCAAGAACAAATGTTGGTTACATCTCGAAGCAAAGAAGGACACAACCACAATTTCATCTTTCATTCAACTGAGAAAGCTTTGGCTTCCACTTTTAGATTTCTCAAAAGTCTAGCTCAACTTCACCTTCCTATTATATTATATTCTAGCCTAGGCATATCATGAATTTAATTCGTAGTTAGGCGCAAGATCTCTTGTCATATCAAACACTACAAATTTCCCTCTCCTCTTTCTACTTATGCCTGGCATGCTCTTTTTCAACGTATTTGTCACTTTCCCCCTCTTTCTTTAGAAATGGCTCAAAACATGTCTGCTTTTCCTTCTAAAGCTTATCTTTTGTAAAACATCCCTGCCTAATCGCATTAAAGCGATTCTTGTACACCACAAACAACCAGATGAGTGGCTCTGAACTGATGTTAGGAGCTTCAAGAAATAGTGAACTGACTGATGTAAATTCCTTTAATCCAAGCTTCTAACAAAGCTATTTTGGACCAGTTTGAATACGTGTGTGTGTGTGTGTGTGTGTGTGTGTGTAAGTGTAATAACTCAGTCCACAAGGATGAGTCTTTTCAGACATTCCTTCTTGGCCTATGAGCTAAAAATAAAAATAAATCACAGCTTTGTAAATTTTCCAAATTCTAAGATCAGTGTTGTCCACACGAGTAAGATGGATATCGCAACTTCTGCTTTTTGAATTAGATATTGATTTAGAGGACATTTTAATGTTCCATAACATTAGAATGTGATATGATGGTTTAATAATATTCAGTTTTTAAAATTTCTAGCATTTATATCCCTCCTGTAGATTGCCAATGCGCCTTATAAACTGTAAAATATTATAGAATAGTAAAGTTATGGGGAAATATTAAAAGAAGTAGCCAATTAAAAAAGCAATACCCTGAAAGCCCAACTGTGATAAAAGTTTCACTGCTTATCTAAAAACAAACAATGATAGGGTCAGACATACTTCTCTAACTTAGGGTTGCCGTGTTTTGAAGAGGAAAAAAGTACACATTTGCCAACTTCTACTTTTAGCTATGGATTGCTATGATGACTCTACCCATGAAAAAGAAGAGTGTCTTGGAAAAGGACATCACATCCCCCTTTTTACAAGGCAAAGGGAAGGGGCTATCCCTCTTACCTCTGCGATGTGATAACTTCATTTCGGTTTGGAAATTTGCTTTCTAGGCTGTAGAAACCACACCTCAGTCATGTAAATAATATTCTTGTAATGGTTATCCAGACTATTTGTGAATATTCTCCTTTTCTCTTCTCTCATAATAAATAAAATTCTCTTGTATAACCCTCTCCTCTTCTCAGAAAACCTGGAATTTTTCTACCCTTAATTCACTAAACCTGCCCCCAGAACTTCTCCCGTCAAGGCTTTGCACAAGACTTTACCAACAGCATTTCTTCCACGTGTTTTATTTTTTACTCCTACAGATTCTCCAACCAGTCAGATGGGTGGGGTACAAATTACTACTACTACTAATTTGTTTCCCCTAATTTTTCTTTAAGAACACTCCTCATTCTATCACTTGGCCCTCTTGTCTCAGTTTTCCCCTCTGTGAAATTTATAGCTGCTGTTTATCATCCTCTCATTCCTTTCTGTTATTCCTTTAAGCTAGGTGTGGGAACCTTTGGCCTTGCAGATGTTGTTGAACTACACTCCCCATCATCACTGGCCACTGGCCATGCCTGCTGAGGTTGATGGGAGCTATAGTTCTTCTGGGGGGCCAACCAACACACTGTCCTCTCTCAACTTCTTTCTGAAATTCTCAAATGTATTGTTGCTTCTTAAAAACTCTCTCTTTTTGACCCTTTTTAGAGCCCTACTAGGTGTTGTGTAGGGGATTAGTGAATAAGAGCCCCACTTTTTAAATGTTCAAAAGGGGTCACTGATCAATTCTTGCCATGTACCGTATTTTTTGCACCATAACACTCACTTTTTTCCTCCTAGAAAGTAAGGGGAAATGTCTGTGCGTGTTTATGGAGCGAATGCCTACGGATGGCGGGGGGATTTGCTGCAGTCGTAAGCAGAGGATCCATGGTTCCCCTTCCTTCCCTCCTCCGTGGCTCACTTTGAAACAGCAAAGCGGGAGAAGAGTTGCTGAGTGGGGAGGAGAGAGGGACAGAGAGCCTGCTTGCTTTAAAGGATCAAAGAAGGAGAGGAGAGGAGCCGCTACACGAGTGTAAGTGGCTCCTGTCCGGTTGGCTCCTTTAAAGCTAAGCAGGCTCTCTGTCCCTCTCTCCTCCCCACTCAGCTGGCTAAATAGCAGCAAAGTTTTTCAGCGAGCTGGGGAGGAGGGAGAGAAACAGAGCCTGCTTGCTTCTCCTCTTATACCCCTCTTCTGCATCCTTAACAGCATCCTTCTCTACCCACCCCACGCATATTCCTTGTCCCTTGAGTGCTTTTCCTTCCCTCCCCACTTAAAACGTGGTTACAAAGCATGGATCCACATGGATCCTCAGGATTTTTGCACTGGGTCACCATGTCCATGGCTACAGCTTGCACCAAAAAAATTACGCACCCACTGTTGCCTGGGGCCGCAGTGGTGCAAAAACGTGGTTACAAAGTATGGATCCACATGGAGCCTCAGGATTTTTGCATTGGGCTACCTCAAACTCACCGTCAGATCACACGTCTGCGGCCACAGCATGAACCACAAAAATCATACATCCACTGTTTCGTTTAGAATATTTTTTTACTTGTTTT